ATAATATTATATACTTTTTGCTTTTGTGTAAGCGAAAAATTGTTATATAATCAATGAGTAATCAAGATGTACCAATAGATGAAGTTTATATGGTCCCGTGATACGGCGTATGAAGATTAATAAGGCATGGTCAAAAAGTATTTATTGCCAATTGCAGTAAATCCGGTACTATTCGTATTATATATAATAATAATGTATATATTAATATCGATTAAAACCTTTATACTTTATAAAACCACCATCATTTCTGTATACTCGGTGTTATATTTTGTATATTATGTCTGTGCTTTTTGGAATGGTTTTTTTTTATACTTTCGTAAATTCGAGATTATACGATCTGCGGCAGATCTTTATCTCCACTAAAACCCATAATTGTGTAACCGGAATGACAAATTGCGAAATTACCGACATGGCGACAACAATAACAAGAAAAAGAGCGTTTATACATCTGAAAGTTTATTTTTGTCATTGTCAGATAATAACCTGTTAAAAACGCAAATTTGCAGATGCCTATTAACATTGCATCCGCTTTGCCAAATGCGTATTAGTAAAGCCGAGTTTTGCAGTTTTCGCCAATCTCTGTTGTGTTTGATTATTAATATCTTTTTGGTTTTCTAAAGTCATAGCACCCAATCAGAATTGTAGCAAACAATGATTGTTACGCGGGTTGTCGAAAAACGATTATACAATGACGGTTATTCTTTCCACGGAAGGTTTGCATAGCCGGGACAATCTGGGTTGCTGTTACACACATTATTACAATATTGCCATAGTAATAATGTTGGAACTGAACTGCAGTCACGAATCTTTCAACCATCCTTTTGACAAAAGGTTGATATTTACGTTCAACGCGCAAAAAGCTTGGCTTGTTAATTTTTTAGACTGATATTTTGATCGATCTTTTTTCCCCTCACTTTTGAAGACCCATTATGGAAAGGATTGCATTGATTGAATCGCATGACTGTGTTAAGAATTTGATCAGTGACACACGCTGATTAGTCTGTGCTTATATAAGATTATTCATCGCGGGTTAACGCTTGGCATGTGTGCTACAAGTGGGTAGTACAAATTCATTTCGGCAATTTACAAATCCCATCAAGAAGTTGTAGCAGAACAGTTATGTGGCATATGTTACATGTGCTTTTATCTGTTTGGCAATCGCAGTGTTGGAATACGAATATTACGACTCCTTGTTGTGATTCTCTTTATTTGTCAATTGTTTATTTCCCTGTCTTTAGGCTGCCGAACGGCATGCGAATACTTTGGGTTATAAAAATTTGTCAGAAAGTTCGAGAAAGAAAAAACTAGTGTTTACATACTTACGATGCTGTTTATTGGTACCCAAACTACAATTTAGCTATTAGCGATGCGAATAGATTTGCTGCCACAGAATAATTAGCGCAAACAATTTGTATAGGTCCGTGCACGTTTGTACAAAGCTCAATGATATGATAATGCAATACAGAAGCGTATTATCTGTGCTCTCGCATCTGAAAGCAATTAATAAACCCATACAAGTATAAATTGTATGGCCGATTACAATCAAACGTACAGTATATTCGTTAGCCCTTACAATAGAACATATTCGGCTTTTCTATGACTTGGATTTGCCCCCCCCCCTATTTATCCGATGAGTTCAATAAAGTCATGCAAATGGCCGAATTAATCTAGCAATACAATATTAGAAAGCAGAGTTTTATGTAAGTGTTACAGTAATACGGTAGAGCTCTCGTTATCAAAAATATCAGTACACATAATAAACAATTCCAATACGAACTCTAATTTAATTAATATCTTATTATTTGTTAAATGATATTGTTCTGCTCATACCTTTTTTTTTACCTGATCGCCAAATAACTATACTATTTGGGAAGAGCGTTTCAATGATCTTTTTTTAGATACACATTCTCATTCGGTTACCTCAACTCTAGGACCCTACTTAAACCTTATACAGGCTAATTCATGTTTAAAGTTCTATCAAAAGGTTGCTTAATTTTGCTATGCATCGCCATGTGATACGTATATTATACTTTCATTCACGTAATCCTGTCAACGAAATGTCAACGAGCAAGGTTTCTAAATTATAATGCGTGTTCTTTTTGACTTTTTTTTTAATTTGGCAAAAGCAATGAGGCACGATCCATAACTTAAAATATGTGTAACTAATCGATTAACAAATTAAGCCGTTGTGTAATTAGGGCCGTTCTTAAGCTACACAAAGAATGGTGCATTCTTTATTGTCCATACAGAGAATGGGACAGTAGACATTATTAATAATACAGCATCAAAGCCACAATTGCGCAACAGAAGCAATGGTGGTGATTCCAACAACCTCGGGGACAAAAGTTACATGATCGTGATCACGCAATACCATTCAGATTTAATATGAGGATCTATTGAAGGTTGTACGGTGTCAGTAATATACCTAAAGTTGGTATGAGTGTTTAAATTAAATAGCATATATAAAAGAGTCACGTTTTTTACGGTTTCTTAGTCATCACATGTGTATGGTATTGCATTATTGGAGAGAGAGAGAGAGAGAGAGAGAGAGAGGTAATGCTAATATCAGGGATTATTGTAGTTTCCCATCGGTTAATCTCATCTCTAATTGACTTTTGTTGTGATGATCCAATAAGACAAATGGCCGTTTATTAAACGCTCAAAACGTTAAATGTGGGAAAAACCCTTGTTTGGTAACACGGAGGCTGCTGAATAAACCCCTTAAATAATCACAAATCTGCATTTATAAGATGGGCAATCAGTCGGATTAATCTGATTGGATGTATTTGTGTGACATTGCAAACTTACCGACCGCTACACAATTTAGTCTAAAGAGTTGAAATAATATTAACATACTCGAAAATAAAGATCTCAAGTAAGGTCAATGTAAAGCACAACCCACGCTTTGCCCGTGTCTTTGCAACTCGACCTCCTCCCCTTCTTTTTTTTGTACGGTAAAAGTGGGAGAATATTAACCGAAAAACTTGATGCAGTATTATCAATATGGTTACATATTTTACATTATTTTAAAAATGCAATTAATAAACTGATCGACTGCGCAAATCATATACAAGGGCTATGTAGATGAATACTATACAGATTCCATTGTAAAAAGAAAGTTCATTATTGCATGAACCTTAGGGATGCTTACGATTTTATTACATAATCTATAATTTGCATTTCTCTTTTCAGTTCTGCCGATGCCATCTAAAAGCGCTAAGCTTGGGTATAAACGTATATATAAGATGTTAGGCATGGCTTTAAAAAAAACAAAACTTTCTAACAAAAATGGCTGATAGGTTTTCCTCAACATCATCCTTTGATAGTTTTGACTATGAAAACACCAACTCTGAAACTAGTTCTACTCATTCTGTGGCAACATTATTTGATCCAATAAAGGAGTCGGCTATGACTCCATACAACCTGTTTGACCAATTTATAGAAATTGATGGAAGATACTATTTCAACGACAAAGAACTGAAAAGTTATCTGCCTAGCGACAAGCAAGAGCATGATAGGGCATACATACAATTTTATGTATATAAAGTGCTATGGAAAGGCAATTACTCTTCCCCTATTACACATGATCTATCACTCGGAATCAACGTTCTTGACGTTGGGTAAATACGCCGATTACCTTTTAAGTAAAACTATTGTTCCCCCTCTTCCCTCCCGTTCACCATCTCTAACTTTTTTTAATGTCATCTAACAGTTGTGGTGGAGCACCATGGACTTTGGCTATGGCTTTGGACTTTCCTCTATCAAGTTTTGTTGGAGTAGATATTTCTCCTTTATTCCCTGAAGAGCGTCCACCCAATGCGGCATTTATTAAATGTGATGTCCACGATGGTCTACCGTTTCCCGATAATTCGTTCGACTTTGTTTGGCAAGCATTTCTCATAGTTTGCATCGATTGGCAAGCATGGAGGGAGAAAGTGATGAAAGAATTAATCAGAGTGACCAAGCCCGGAGGGTATATCGAAATTATGGACATGGATGCTATGGTGATGAATCCAGGAGAAATTGGTCGCAAACTTAACCAACTTCGTAAGTATATATATATGCTTGGGGTAGCAGAGTTTTTTTTGCTGAACCGCATTATATATATTTTTAGAATTGACGAGCTATGCTGATGCTGGAATTAACGTCATGTCTAGCAAGGGTGTGTTGGAAGCATTTGGTGAATTAAGCGATAAAGTTACCGTTGAAGCGGTTCACAAAAGGAAATATCGTTTTGGAAAGCATGCAGGGAAATTGGGCGAAATGGTAAAAAAAATTCAACATTTTTTGTTTGACGTACTTGTGACTTGTATTTCATGGGACTGACTTATTCTTGTGTTAGGCACTAGCATGTTACATACAAGCACTTGAATCAATGGGTGCTTTTCTTGGGCCTCTTTTTGAAGTTACTGATGACGGATATAAGCAATTGATAATAGATTATTACAATGAACTCAATAATGGTAATTCATACTTGGCATCATGTTACCGTATCACTGTAAAAAAGAATGGATCACGAATGTAATTTAGTATATCTTTGAAAATATCTATCTTCAAATGTTTCATAGAAAAGGCTCTCATTAGTTGTTGATATTCAAATAATACTGTATAGATAATTTGTTTTTAAAATATATCTTGTAAGAAAAGAAAACTTTAAAACTTATGCTTAGTAGAAGAAAGTTATATCCTGTGTGTATGTGTAGAACTTAAAGTTGCTCTATCTACAATCATGTAAAACAATGTAATTTAGAAATAAATTTAAATAATTATGAATACCGACACAGACCGGGAGACTTTTGGACCACAACAATTGCTGTAAAATTATTTACGAAATTAACGCAATGCCTGTCTAGAATTGTTGACTTGAAAACAGTAACCATCATTCGGAGAAGACGTCCATGATCAAAAGCAGCAAAGTGGTGGTTGCCGCTAAAATGTAGCCAATACAAATCAAGCAGACTACCAATTCCAAGGCCATTAATCTACTGTACATACAGATCATTGCCAGACAGTCGGCACAAGGCAAGTGATGAGTGGTTGTTTTGTGTTGTTTATTGTGAAGACTAATTATTAAATGATGATGTACACTACCCTTGTGGCATACTTTCTACAAGTTTAGTACAAGTTTTGGGCGGAATTTTTCTCCATTCTTCTTGTAGTACTTTTTCAAGTTCATAAAGATTTGATGTAGCCATTTGTATATGTAGCAGTGCTTTTTGAAACTTTTAGAATACGAGCTATGATTTTATGGAACTTTTCAGCCATTTGTAAACCAATAATTCGTCCACGTTCAGACTCATTTAGTTCACGATCTTTTCCCATGCCGAATGCCATCAATTGTTTACGTTTTCGTGTCGGATGCCGCGAATGCTCGGTTAACCTTTATACAAGGGTTAGTTAACGCCCATTTCTTTATACGTGTTGTGTTTGAGTTTGGGACCTGTCTCAGTTCGGAACCCAGTCACTCAGTCCAGAACTCAGTTGTCTCAGTCCAGAACTGACCCAACTGAGGTACAACATACGCACGGAATTAGTTGCGTTTACGCGCACAAATACAAACATACAGTACACTCATCATTGTCAAAACCAGGAGATTCATTTAAGAAATTTTTTGCCTAGTTAATATGTTCAACTTGAACATTTTAAAAAATGCTTGACCAAATACTTTTCCAAAAGTGCATGATACTGTCGTAAATAATCGTAGTTGTATACAATGTAGTACACGTTGGTAATAAACATATCATTTGACATACTGTAAAACAGCCAATCCCTATATCTATTCGGAATATCCGCCCTTTGTTCCGTGGATATTCTCATGGCATTTCGATTGCTATTCGCGAGTAAACCAACCTATCGGAAAAGGTGCAACTAAATAAAGGAACGCAAAACTCCAACCTATCGGAAAGGAATTGTTGATCTACTCGAGATTAGTATTAGTGTCTACCGATCTACACAAGGTGCTTCGAATCTTTCCTCTCAGACTGTGAGCTGTAGGGTACAAATACTCATAAGGTGCTTACCGCGCCCCGGTCTGTCTAAATATCTAGCATTCCGACTGTGGCGGACGCACCCGAAAATAATTACCAGAAAATTTTACAATCTGTGGTGGTGGTTCGATGACTCGGGAGACAATATATACTTGTTAGAGTAAGATTATTTCGATTTTTGACTGACTCTGAGTGCTCGATTTTTGTTATTTTTTGTGGGATGATAGAGAAAATTCGAAGTTTGCACTCGATTAAAAGACGTGGAGACCAATAGCATATGAGTGGGGAAGAAGGGAGAAGAGCAGCCATTTGAGATGTCATGAAATGCAGTAGATATGGATATGGCTGTGAATTGTCATGAAGAAGCTAGCTGTATGGTATGAAAGGCCTGGATGTTGTCTGGTGATTGTAAAAATGTATCCATGTTTCATTTTCTTCGCTCTCTAGGAATGTTATTCACCCAAGCCTATTAGATATACTGTGTCACTTTGTCAATCCCCATGTTTTCTAGTTCTTGCTCATCGAGAATGTCATCTTTAAAAGCGTGCCCATCCAGTTTATTTACAATACGAAGCACTATTTTGACATGTGCTAATCTAATCATTTGACTATTATTAAATTGCTATTCTTATCAAACGTATATCTCTACCTATTATTACTCAAATATTTCGCACACGGTTGCTTCCATGGCCAAAACGCCACTGGAATCAACATCAGTAGTCAAGCTAATAGTATCTGTGGCCGCATTTGTAGTTAGAACGATCTTGATTACTCCGTCCTCTTTGGCATCAAAAACTTTATATGCCTTGGCTTTGGCGCATCGCTCAGCGGCATGCGGTGGGTGAAGAACCACCTATTCAAGAATTCCGTATAATGTTTATACCTTTCTTAACAGATTTGATAACTTCGTCCACGACATCAACACTGTAAGTCTCTATGTATAACATCTTTTCCACTTTATGCCTCATACTCTTCGAAGCATATCTGAATCCGACCGCATCAATAGTGACGTCAAAGCCTTTTGGAACTAATTCACGTATTTTGTCCAGTATATCTTTTACTTCCTCAATATTGATAGTTTCTGCACCAATATCTTGAGCCAGTTTAAGGCGACTAGGAACAGAATCGATTGCTAGGTTTAAGAAAGATTGTTAATCGGCTTTTCAGAAAACAGTGGTTTGATCGTCTTGATAGCTACCAATGATACGCAACGCTCCACGATTAGCCATGAACCGCATCCTATATTGCCAATAGATGGAATGTCGAACCGTTGTTGCATATTTACATACCCATATACCCACAACATCAACTACAAGCAAATGAATGATGATGCTTAACAGTTAATATTCTGAACAGCATGAACATTCACGATGATTATTTATTTGCTCGATCCATACCGTGTCCTACTTCACTCAACTCGCAAGCATGCCATCCCGTACAAGCGACGTCGAACAATAGCAAAAGCTTCTCTTACATTAAAGTCGATATTGGTGTCGTATCCAAAATAAACAAGCGAATATAGCACGAATAAACTCATGAACGAGAACCTTGAGTTTCGCGACGATAGCATCAGTGACGTGGAGAAGATTGGTATCAGCATATGGACTCAGCTTGAGTTCCTGCAGGAAAATGCAAGGGTTCGTCGAGAAACGGCGAGTCTATTATTTGAATTCAACCAGAGATTTGAAATTATCACGTAGCAAAACATCAACTGATTTGGAAAGCGCTACTCACCATCATATCCTCCAGTGATGTGAGAATAGCCGAACAGAGCGGCTGTTCTGTGTTCTGTAATAACATCATATAATGTTACTTAATAACAATAGACACTACAATTTCCTTGTTGATTGATTAATCCGTCCCCGTCTCTAATATCACGTTAGTGTATGCACCAAATATATTAATATGACCATCGCTTACCATCCATGTCTTTACTTGGATTGGTAGTGTCACAACTGTTTACGACAATACTCTGCACGTTCCCACAGGCAATAACTGCTGATATGCCCCCAGGTTGTACTTTACTCACTCTAGTTCCGACCTGTTTAAACAGACACTAGAGAGTAAATCAACATAATATATACTGGTCATGCGTGTCAGTGACAGCAGATGCAGATCAGCCTCTTCGACAACACCCACTCCTTCGTGTCCAATTATATCGCCATCTCGCATCCAGTAATCTCGTTATGGTATAAGCGGAGATCAGAACCACATATTGTTGTATAAATAATGCTCCTACAATATACCTTAAGTTTCGCACTTTGGCCTGTGATCATTGACTTTGATATTACGAGTACCCTTCCATTTGACAGCAGTCATGCACTCTTTTCATGATTACAACTTGGCTGTCCTGTCGCCACAGCTTTAATATTGGACAAAGACATGTCGTATTAACTTTGAGAATTCACCACACGTTATGTTTGAGGTCCAAGAGTAACGGATTTATACGTAAGCATGAGGCGACAGTGACGAAAATATGTCGAGACTGATGGTAAGCAGTGACATTAATTATATCGTTTCTGATTAAGAATGGATTGCTTGCAACTTTTAGGGAAGGAGAGAAAAAATAAAGCCGTATCATTGTTCCTGACGCTATAATGTGTAAGAACTAGATTCCGTGTCATATAAGAACTAGATTCCAAAACAATTGACCCTGCATAAAGTTACGTATCACATGACAAGCATTCACTATGAATATTTTAAATTCATTACTTTTTATTTCTGCGAAAGAAAAGAAATTGTCCAGATTTCAACTCAGATAATAAACCGCTTAACATACTTTAAATATCCATCTACATTTTTGTTCCTGATCAAATTCAATGTACTTCAAAAATAAAAAATTACTCTTAGTCTTGTCTTTCTCTATGTGCGAATTCTAGAAATTAACCTTGGCGAGGGTGTTTCCCCTTTGCTGCAGATACTTCAAACTTTCCTTTTACCTTCCGAAAACAGGCCCATGTTCCTTGCGTAATTTGATCACACTCTTGATCCGATGACAGCCGCCTTCTCTTGGTAGTTTAACTCGTCTTTAGACTTTGAGAACACACCCGTATTGCGAGCGTTCTTGCGCTTGTGTTCAGGTAGAGACGATCTTGAGAATGGATTATATCCTCCGAAGAAGACAGAGGAAAGACGGGGTTCAACAACTGTTGCTGTAACGCCTACATTATCACGTCTTGGATGGAAGGCCGACAGAGTTGGAGAGTGAAGAGCAGTGTTGTAGAGAAGGTGAATCGTTAGGCTTGGCTGAGGAAGTCGCGAGACGTGTTGATGCGCAGGGACTGGCATGCGGGGGAGGGCGAGTGGAGATGGTAGAGGTGACTGGTCATCAGAAAAAGCTTTCGAGAACGGGGAAGATGGGAAGAAATCAAAGGGCGACGATATTGGAGAAGAAGGCGCGGAAAAGTAGACAGATGTTGGAGTCTGTGCACAGTCTTCCTCGTCTGTAATCTCATGAATTCGTTGCTGTCTTTGTTTATATTCATGACTATCGCCTAATCCCAAAGACTCGTCGATCCAAGATGCTAGTAACGGAAGGCATTCTTGTTCGAACAAATGTGCCGACTCGCACGATACGTTTAAATCATGTGGGTACACACTAGTTCCAGGAGTAAGTGCGAATTCGTCAGAATAGTGGCAATCATTACTACCCTTTGACGTGATGCATTTCAAGTTTTTGCTGGTAGGCTCCCGTTTCGGGCGAGGTGGAGCTCTCAGACTGTGTTGATGAGAAGATACGCATGTTGAGTCTTCTTGGACGAAAGGATGCACGTTTGTAATAATAGAACTCGAAAATTTTCTTTGGAATACATCCTTTGTAGGAGTAGTAATGTCTTCTTCACTCGGGCTGTGAGGTTTCTTTCCAGTCTTTGTATTGCCATCATTTCTTCTACGCTTTCTTCCCTTTCGACTTCTGCTTGCGCCACCACCTTTAATCACCATAACGCCATCCACCTCTTCTACAATCTCTGCTTCTTCTATATATTCAGATTCTCTTCCCATACTTCCGTTTCCATCTGTATCGGATCGCTGCTTGACTAGCAATAACTTTTCCCTGTTGTCGTTCGTTCTCACATGTACAAGGAAAGCACCGAGACCAGAAGCGGGTACAGTGCTGCTGCGCTCGAGTAGACGTTTGTGCTTACGCGAGGGTCTTACGGAATTGGGTTTTGCTGTTGGAGTTAATGGTGAGCATGGGGTTGGGAAAGAGTTGAATGTCGTTGGAGTGAGGGGTGTGCGGGGTGTGCGGGGTGTGCGGGGTGTATGGGGTGTGACTATGGTGGGAGATTGAGTGTATTCTCTGAGAACGTGAATGGGAGAGTATATTGCCTCTTTACCAATGCAATTGGGACAATGACCATTTTCTTTATCGACCTTCATTGAACACTGAGTATTCTCATTGTCGATATTATTTGGAGATTGAGCGTTCTCTTTATCAATGATATCGTAATCACCCTTTTTGCTCTTGGATACCAACGGTTTGATATTCTTGGGTCTTCTTCGACGCTGTTTACGCGTCTGAACATCGTTTTTAAGACCATCTCCATCAGCAGGTTTCTCCTTTTCTACTTCGTTGCCGATGTAAGAAACAACGTTCGCGTCATCTAAAACGATTTCTTCGTTGACAGTACCGACCATTGTGGTAGCTCCACTGGTGACGGATCCGCAGAGAGTCGATCTGTTCGAATGGATGTCTGATGAGTTGCTCTTTGTTCTCTTCATTTCTATCGAGGCAAGAGTTGGTGTGGACGCCGTTACTTTGATGGAGGGTAACCCTGATTCTGTTATTACCGACTGTGTTTGCGCTCTTCTATTTTCCTTTATTTGTACACGTAACGCGCGAAGGTATATGTCTCTGGGAATGCTTTTGCTGAATGGCCTGACGTGAGTCATAAATTCGTTATATTGCAAATCCCAAAACTTGATGTATACCACTACTTCCACAATTTCCTTTCCCACTGCATGGAAATGTATTGGTCTCCAATGTTCTACAGATTCTGGAATTATTCTCGGACACTCAGTGAGCCTGGCCTGAATTTTCCCCCACTCTAACGCTTTATTCCATTTTACCATTTCGCTGATGGGTAGATTATTCTTGAACAGTGATATTAGCGTGTCTTTGGTGAGACGTGTAAAGTCTTTGGCAAAGATAAATTCGATCGGATAATTGCTGAAGAGTATTTCGCAGTATGAGGAGATGTAAGTCAGCTGCTTGAAATGTGGTTTGAGTGAATTGTAGACAAGGTTGAGATTCTCTTGTAGCCAGCGGCCGTGGGTGATCTGGAAGTGGGTGTCCAACAGATCGATGAGATTGCCTTTAATTCGTAGTTTACATACGGCTACGAGGAGGTCTAATGTCATTTGAGCATCTAGTGCATTGATATCAATGTTCTCATTTTGTATATATTTTAATACAAGTGCAAACACGTCGGATTCGATGTCGGTGAGAGATATGGGAAGGTGTTCTCTTAATGCCCAATCCATAGAGTCTAGTGCTTTATCGAAATATCCACTTTTCTCTCTGAGCTGATGAGAGTATGTATGGAAGATGTGTTTAGAGGATTGAACTGAGGGGGTGGTCCTTACCATTATATCAGGTTGAGTACTTTGGCGTAAGAAGTGGCTGCTGGAGGAAAGAACTGGCTTGTCAACAACAGTTGGTCCGAATGAAGTAAGCGAAGTCATTTTGATGATTCTGTAAGCTTCCTGAGCTTGTTTAGTATTAGAGTTTGTGTGCAGCGTCTTGACGAACAAATGTACAAGGGCGGAGGATAAGGATATTCTACAAATTGGGGGTCGGGTATGTAATAGTGAAGGAAGCTTCGTAATAAGAGAACAGCAATTCAATAAATAGGCGAAAATATATACAACTGCGGGTATATAAAAAGGTGTTATTATGATTGCTTTTAGGGTTAGCCTGAATTTGTACAATGCTGAAGCTTCCTGAGCGTTCAGTGAATGCTTTTTTTTAGATTTATGGTCGCCGACAAGGAAAACTAGAATTGATTCAAGACGGGGTTATTTATATATCAGAAAAACATAATGCGATTGTTTTTTAAGTATAGTATGCGTGCGTTATTATTGTGCTATCAGAAAATGTTATCCCCTTCGTTGTTTGAAGCTCGTCCTTGTGTCTATAACATGTTTTAGTCTTTATTCGTCATGATTAATCTCCATATTTGGGTTGAATGCCAGAAGATAATGCAGATTGGTGGATATGTATAGGCTCATGACGTTATGTGCTTACTTTTTATAGTACCTTGTGCACTTCTATGTGAATATTTACACAATGCCCCCCCTGGTTTAAGCCGCATTTAAAGAGAATGTAATTGGCCAGGCCAGAATAATATTGTTGAGATCTGGCGATATTTGATATTGTTGCCCTTGACTTGGTCGACTTGGGTGTGGCAAACCCTCTTTTCGGATGTCGGGATTTCAAAACGGTGGAATGGTGGACATATAACAAACGCATTATTTTGATATCCGGCTAATTAATGACTAATTCCATTAGCATGGAAGAAACAATATGAATGTATGCGCATGGCGGTAAATATTGTTAGAAATCGCACAATGCTGTGACATAGTGAACTGAAATGGTATTTTTTGGCGTCAGATATTGTTCATCCGCAACTTCTAAACGAGCCAGAATAGCAAAACCGTCGTGGGACAATAGACGAACCAATAAGTTAATGTACCCATGGAATGTACCAATAAAATGTATATACAAGCGCATAAACGCGATATGGCTCAAATTAAACTCATTCTAATTCGTTGGCATTATAGATGTTTCTAGGTTACAAGCCAAATACTTTGTTTGCGAGTGAAAATAGTAAGGAGTTTTTTTTACGTTTTAAGACACATTACTTGGCGTTGTTTGCATTTAAAGTAAGTTATACGATTGTCCATGCGACGCATTGAGAGAAAAGTTTCGGCAGCAGCAAAGAAGTTTCGGTTATCAGGACCCCATGCAGTATTACATATCATTATTCATGAGATGTTTTAGTGAATTGTTCTAGATTTTCCATATAGTTTTTCCTTCGGAATCTAACCTTTTGTGTACCATGAATGCAGATCCCGCAACACAAATAGACTGACAAACGCTTGGACTAATATCCCAACCGATATATTCGCTGGTTATCGTCAAATCATTGCCAAATATAAGAAGAATAACGTCCTGAAACGATTCCCCGTATCTTTCCCCGTATCTCGCCTCCCTTTCCCACCAGCACATGTTCTATTCCAAAATTCGATTGTATACCAAGAAATGGCGTTCAATGGAAAAACTGAATATTACAAATGTTATTTTGTTCGTACTATTGCGCTGTTCACATAGCCTTTGATGGATTATAAATACTGCTGCAATTGTTGTTGCCGTTATTTAGACTAGTGACGCGCTGTACTACCGTCATCAATAACAAGCACGAGAATCAAACTCGGAATTTCAAATAGATGAGTTTAACAAGCCTGACTAAATAACTTGCAGGTATTATTGAAAGTCTAGTTTTTCTTTCAACAAACTAATTCTCGTATAAAGTTTCTTCGTCCAATAACGTAGAGAGAAAGGCAACCTTTTCGCAATGATGTTTTCTTCAAAGAAAATGCAATAATACAAAGTTAACATGAGGTCATGGTAAATGACTCTATTCGGTATTCCATAACTGTTGGTAAGGCTTTCAGCGTATTATTTAAAGACAGCCTATCAGATATTTGTATTTGTATGCATAGTCATGTATGTATAGTAAGCGTAATCCCAATCTTTTTATCAGACAACGTTGCTATTCATTTTCTATCGAACGGCGTTCCGCACAGAGGTCATGTCAATTTTGATATATTATCAGGTGAACTAATTGCAAGCTTCCATGGCGCAATTGGTTAGCGCGTTTGGCTGTTAACCAAAAGGTTCCTGGTTCGAATCCAGGTGGGAGCGAAGCAACATCCAACAGCTTTTCTTTTCGCTCCTAAAGTTTCTATTAGATGCGCAGAAGGCATGTATTTCGTTTGGTAATGCAGGAAGTAAAATTTTCGTCGTAACAGAAGTTATCACTTGTAGATGGAACTAAGTACAGAGACGCATGAAGCCAAAGGAAATCGGGAATTACAATTTTGGTAAGAAGAAATTGTCATATTCTTGTATTGTAGCAAAGGATTGAGCGGGACAGATGTTGGGAATAATAATACATAGTCATCCGGAGTCAACGGGACCGAGGCCTAAGTTCAGATTAACGGCATCTGGTTTGTTCTCAATAATCCGAACTTGCTATTGAATTCAATAATTATTCTTAAGCCTTATTATTGTTTAGCTACTTACACCTGCTAACATCTGATTATGTCGTCTCGCTTTGAGGTGCGAAAAAACTGTCAATATGTAATTGTCGCTTATTTTGTATTTCAAGTATTTTAATCATTCGATGGACTACAAGGCGGTGATTGATGAATTTTGTCGCATATTCTTGTCGAATGCTTTCTTTCATTGGCTAATGCAAGCGAAACTGGGGTGCTGTGACAATTTCTATAACATCTTCATCAGTTGGTATTCTCAGTTTCTTCAAGTAAATGATTATTATTATCTATTTCAAAAAACGAATCAACTATCACGAGGTTGTGGGCATATTGCCACGCAATTTACCAGACGTTCAATGTAACGCCCAACTCGGCAGTCATTATATCAAGCCGAGACATTTCTTGACCTGTTCATTAAATGCATTGATACGGTTTTCACACAAGAGTTTTCTGTATTGCGACTATACAATAATAAAATGGGAAATTAAAAACACAACAAATTTCCTTTTTTTAACAATGAATAGATAACTTCTGCATCCGTCGCAGGGTTGTAAATGTGCTGTAGTATTGGCGGCAGGAAAATAATATTACTGAATGGTGAGTCTTCGCCAAACTGGTGTAAAGTAGCATTGTCAACAAGTAGGAGAATTTTTCATTGTTTATGACGCATATCGGAATTCAGCTTATTTTAGCCAATGCTTGAATATGGATGATTGCATCCATGCGGAAGAGTTCCAGCAGTAGTAATGTACTGGGAGTGTGTATTTGTATATGAGAAGAGGAGGTAATTTCTCCGTCCCAGTTGCATTACAAGCGAGTAGAATGGTTATCCTATCCTTCATCTTTAACACCAGAAACTGAATGAGAAGGGAGTATCTTAGATGGTAAAAGCTTCCAATAGAGGGCCGTTTTATCAGCATTAAATACGTCTTTAAGCTCAAACTGGGAGATTACTTGCTGCAGCTCTATCCTATATGTAGGTAGTTTTTCAAGCGGAGCGCTATTTGCCTCACCACAACGTGTATATTCACAGATGTTATATCGATTCTTAAAATTGGTTACCCACCCATTTAAATTCATGCCCAACATGACAGCAAATTGGAGAGCTTTATTTAGATGACCAAATAGAGGCAGATTTACTTCTACGACAGCATCACCCCAAATAGCAAGAGCTTCCTCAAGCTGACAAGATTTTGGGTAGGTGATCGCGTTTCTTGAAGCGAGATGGTGGTTTGGATTATATTAAGATATTCGTTTTTGCGTTTCAGGGTATCACGCACGGTTGATTCGCCGATTTCAAATCGAGTTGCCAAAGTTTTGCTCGTAATTTTGCTTAATACTGCATAACTCGATTTTCTCGGCAATCTTTAATTCTTTCTTTTGTCTTTTTGGCTTACGGTTCATTATAAAAAACAAATTCAAAGAGAGAGTTAAGTTTTATAACTGATGAGATTCTTTGGATTAACGAGAAAGATCTTCGGATTAACGAGGAATTTTTATATGACAACTGCTTCGGATTGCGGATTACAGAGATTTATTATAAAAATTCGGATAAACGAAGTACGTGCGTATTCCTGACTAGTCGTTGGACTGAGTGACACGGTCACATGCAGCAAATCAGTTTGATCGACGAGGCATCACATCACCGTCGAATATGAATGATCGCTTATTCTGAACTGCTATTTCTAGATATTGAATTTTGATTTTGTTACAAGAGTTTTTCGGACTTGTATTATCAACGCAAGTTGACTTTTGTAATCATAAGACGTTGCCAATTAAGAGACAATAACAAAAGCCAAGCGGGTGACGAAATCATTATGATAACGAGCAGATTTAATCTGAATCTCGGTAACATTTTTCAACAAAAAGTATACTATCAAACATAAACTTTGGAAAAGACAGTTTGGCTGATATAATTAAATGTCAATTTTAAAATCAGGTATTTGGCTTAATGATAAGGTTAAAAGATGTTTGTATTTAAAGGAAGGAAAGAAAGAAAGAAAGAATATGGACATTGATTGAATAAAGTTGACTCTCATGAGATTGAAGGTATTAATCAATATTATTGGACTATATAAAATTGACCGACTTGATGTGTTTTAACATACATAATTGTTCAAACTATCATTCCAGGTAGGTTTATTTATTACCAAGTGAGAAATACATTTAGCAAGTTTGCCTAATAAATTTATATTTAAAATTGTGCTTGAAAAAAAATACATGACGATTTATGCGCGTCATTATACAAAGAGTTACAATATTAAACCACTGTACAGTCAACTGCCGATAATTCGACCACTGGTTACAGAACATTTATTATTATTTCTATTGTAATTAAAAAGATACAAAATTTATTGCTCATGTAGAAATAAACTTTATATAAAGTTACTAGCAAATCGCTAGCTTGAAACAATTCAAACGGCGGCAAATGTTAGATACTAACTTCATCAATTGGGGGATTGTCAGACTTCAAAGTTGCAAGATTACAAGGTTACGACTATAACACAATTTTTTATTCATATGTTATTTGCTAAATTGCGTATTACTTGAGCTAATCCCAATGCTTTTAATAACTAGCCAGATAATACTTTTCTGCTATCAATGTTTTTATAACCAGAATATTAATATCGTATATATTGCGCTATCATGTATTTTGTAGTGAATAATTCAGAGCATTTGCTAGTAATTTACTAGAAGCGTTCTTGCGCTAAAAATAAAGAGAGACATAAATAAGTATGATTATAGTTCTATTGTGCTATCGTTTATATCTTAGTTGGTATAACAGAGTCATTTATAGCTCTATTGTGTTATCGTTTATATCTTAGCCGGTATAACGGAGCCATTAAAAGGCAGCTTATAGTTCTATTGTGTTATCGTTTATATCTCAGTTGGTTATAACAGCACGACGGCGGACTACCCAGTATAAATGAATAAAAATGATAGAAAGCTGCATATAAAAAGTCTGCTTTCTATAATATAAATACATCTTGAAGACTAAGTCGTAGAATTGTATTAAAAGGTGCTTCATCTACAAATAGGACTCGGTTTAAATGTGGCAAAAATTCAAAGACATAAAAATGCCCCCCATATTAATATCGTCTATCGAAACCAAAATCGCAGCTTTCGACTTTTTATGTGGGATTTTCATTGCCAAGGAAAATGACTCTTCGAATTAACTATTTTGTCCTACGTTCATTACCAATATAGCGGCCCATTATTTTCCCCGTTTCATCGACCAGAACGTTGTCCGATCAAACGAGTTATCTAATTACTTTCTTTAACATCAATGTCCACGTATTCAGCAGTACCTGCCAATAATCCAGACGAGCAATGTGATAGTGGCCCACCCTCTTATGAAGTATCCCAGGCAGAATATGAGTCTAATAGGTTGTTAGAATCCACAAACGGCGAAAGTGAAGAAACGACAAATGGCGAAAACAGGATAAATGAGGACGAGAGAACAGGTGATTGACAGTAAACCGGAGTCGGGAATGAAACCGTTGTAAAAATTTAAACCCGACAACGACAATACTAATATTGCTGATAACTCAGATACGACAACACATAATACAAACACATTCACTACCATAAATCCACCAACATTTACACCTCTAATTGTTGTTGACACTCCTTCTGACTCTTCCATGGAACACGCCGAACATGAGGGCCCCCTTAATAAGACAAGGGCTAAGTGGGATAGAAAACTGGTTATTGGATATTATGTGACATGGTTTGCAATTAATGCGTTTTTGTTTATTGCTATGCTTATGGCAATTGGATATGTGGGCGATGAGGTAAGATGGGAAAGGGTAACGGAAGCTGATTAAAGGAGAGAATACGTGGGTTAAGGAGTGATGTTGGGTTGTATATTCAAGTTGCGCACGAGTATCTTGATAAGCTCTTACGTTAAACTCTTCAGTATGAGTCGTTGTTATATATTCATAAAAGTATCTCTTATAGATTAATCCCAGAAGTTGTCTTGTTTGAACTAACACCACATTTGCCCCATACAACACTACCCTCATCGACCTATCGTAGTTATCTCTCTCGTTCATCTCTAATTTCCCTCACATTCTGCTTTTAGATGACATTAGAGATGATCAATAGCCAATCCTATATACAAGATGCTTTCTATCTAGAGTGTCTGTTTAGGATTTTCCCTTTGCTTGTGGTTAGGAAGTACGATCCCATGCGCTTTTCTCTACCAAAAATCGTCGGAATTATGTTAGGTAGGATGGGGATTTAGAGAAAGGAGGAGAGGAGCACGCTACTTGAGTATGTATACTCATGTCCTTACCAATTCGTGTAGGCAAAGAAGATTTCTATTTCATTCTCTATCCATATCTTTCAGATCCAAGCTTGATCTATGGCTTCCACCTCTGTCAGATATATTATGCAATCTATACAATGATCCTTGGATTACCAGTATGGATATATAGCGCATATAGCGTAACTATGATAGACGACGTACCCTTTAAAGTGCTTATTTATTTGGGAAGTGTTGCCAGTTCAGCAAGCTTAGTAAGATACGTAGTAGTGATGTGTTTAACATATTCCAAAAAGAATCTTGAGACGGTTAGTAGACAAATGTGTACTGCTTTCGAGAGATGAGGATGGCAGAAGGATTGTGAATACCAACAAGTGGGAAGGAGATGAACGTCGAGGAAGAATGACTGGCCATTTTCCGTTACTGCAGAGCGAATATAATTGGATCAGTTGTTTGCGGGATATAGAGCAGCGAATATTAATTCATAACTTTAATAGATAAATAAACCCATACTGACATTAACTGCGACAAGCAGTTGTATTAATAGTTAGAACGCACGATGATTTCGCTTACAGTCCAATTGCGGCACGGCATTAACGGCATTGATTAATATATTCATGTCAAACCACAAGATTGTGCAATTGAGACTTGATAGTGTCGTGATTAAAAGATTTGTCACATGATAGTAAAGTATTAGTATAGTAATAGACTATTACTATTACTATAAACTTTGACAGACCAGTCACGTGAGATAAAATTATGCTGTACAAAGTGATAACGATAGCGATAAGACGTTATCCCAACAAATAACACTATTACTATATCCTAGAGGACCGCTAATAATGGCAGCTAATCTCGAAATTCAAAATCAACTGGAAGTTCTGATAGATTCACTGTCCTCACTCTACTCTCTTGATAATCTTCAACCGCATTACTTTAATTACTGGAAACAGAAGGCCGGACTTCCTAAAGACCTGAGTGATGCACCAGAATGTGTCCAGAATGTAGGTGAATTCGATGTCCGAGTCATCTGCACTGCATAGCTGCTGGATTCTAGGCCTCACGGAACAAATTTTGTTTAGGTTGCTAAGGCATGTGACTTGTTGAAAATACAAGATGTTTCAAGATTATATCACGTTGAAAGTGATTATTACGAATGGGAACTGCAACAACGTGCGTAAGTAGGATGATTAGATTAATGCGTGTAAAAAAAAGCATTACATCAGTACGTGCAGTGGGCTCAGCCATTCAACCTTTTACAGGTTCCGGCTCCGTGCTCCATCAAAAGCTCATCTTTGCAAGAGCATAATATTTGAGAATACGCGGTGTCCACATGAGAGTATTGATGGTAAGTAATAGTTTCTGTTCTGAAACAATTTTGAACATAGTAATAGCATTATTGGTATTTTTTTGACAGATCCATTGAACTCAAAATATTATTGCGTTATTGTCCAAGTAAGAATAAATTTATACATTCGCATTTTTGATGGAATTACATATTTATTCACTGATCATCGTTATTTAGTATGTGGGTGCTGTTAACACACAGAAACTTATGAACTATGTAAGGTCGTTGAAGAATAAAGAAATCAGTAAGAAGAACTACAACTTTAGAGTGGCCAGTGCAGAGGCATGTATTCAATCAACATTACTGAATTTAACAATTGACGTGAACTCATGCCGTTTCCCCCCATTTTTTAGAAATCTTACGAATTAACGGGATTTGAGAATAATGGAGTTTCACCTATCGGTACGATTCAATCAATTATTCGTCGTGCGCATTTATTTACGTAACTATTAACATGTTATTCTTCAGGTATGAGACAGCCGATACCAGTAATTTTATCTAAAAGCATTACCGAGATTAGACCGTCTGTGTTTTATATGGGTGGTGGACATGTTGACTGGAAGTTGGCAATGCCCACAGACGCATTCATAAAAGCAACTAATTGCTTTATAGCCGATTTATCATGACTTGGGGGAGTATATAAGCGGGTATTTGTGGGAATATACATATACATAAACCGTAATTTGTATATTAGCGATTCTTAATAACATAATAAATCTTGCAATTAACGCTGTCTTCCGTTGAACTAGAAAAATATATCCACAAATTGTGTATAAATGGTTTATTTCTTTGTGTGAGTCGTCTATGTATAAAGTCGCAATTACCAATTAGGGTAAATTTGCCAAACAACTTGTAAACAATTTCCACATAAACTTTTCACCGCTCATACGTAAATGTCAGACTTGAAATTTATAATTTTTTTTTTTTCGATGTATAATAGTTATTGAATCTCCTTCCGACATTGAAGACAATAGCTAAGTAGATATTAAAATTAACGCGGTTGATGCAATCCAAGTGACCGTAAAAAAACAGTGATCTGGTACGATGTTCTGTAAAGGGAGTAACTAACCTGGATGGGAAACCTAAAGGGGACAAGAACATGTTATTATAGTGTCATGAGGAAAAGCAGCATATCCAAGAAGTGACATTCCCCTAATTTTGTTAAGGACAAACCTAGACTGGCTTAAACCCAATTCATGACATATTCCTCGCAATTATCAGCATATTCTTCTTCCTGTAGTTTCAAGAAGAAACAACTTCGAAGTTGAACTTGAAGACGATGCACTGCAAAAGACATACTTTTCCGCGGTATATATTTAAGGGGCATACCAACTATAATTTTTCTTTGTGATGTAGAAGTTAGATTTATCATTTGAAGAAGTCCAGAGGAGTAATCAGCACGATATTACACTTTCATTTTTGCTTAGAAAAGGGGATTGATTAGGCAAATCACGAGCAAATTTGCCCGCTGGACGGTTTAAGGGATGGGCCAATTGCAGCTTCTAGTCATATCTCCTTATTTTCATGTTTCTAAATTCTCGCCGACAAGTTGAAACACTATTTACGTCACTTGACAATGGTAAATGTACAGCAGAGCAGAGTTTGACCATTGGTCCATTTGTCCATCTGCCACAGAAAATAATTATTCTGTTATTATCATCATTATTTATGTACATGTTAGCTTTATTCAATCATTTAATTTGTTGTAAGAATTAAATTTGAAGCTCTGAGCTGAGATTTCCAAGAGAATCTTGAGATTACAAAATTAAAGTGGGCTATCATGTACAATTATTAGCAACTAATACTTAAATATTTAACAATCAATACATATTTTTGCAAAGGTTGTTTTATTTCAACAAATACCATCAATAATATTCTTATAAATTATAATAAAGTAAGCATTCTGAACTGTCTATCCAAAAAAATTTATTATTTTTGGTGCTGCTGGTAACAAACATACAGATGCAATAGTTTGTATGGTATGTTTTTTTGTTTTTATATCAATATACTTACAAAATTTGTCAATGACCACTTTAACTTTATTATTATACAACTCAATCTTCTCCCTTATTTTTTTCTTTACTTCTAACCCATTTCATAAAGCATATACACCTTGCTATGTGCTTTACTATATATTGTGCATAAGGATTTCCTTCTTTAGCTCTCTCCATTGATAGAAGTTAATTGCATAATTAATTTCGAGATTTACACGTAATCCAGCCATCTTACTATTTTCAACTTGCACTGATAAATGTGTTGTTTTATTGCACTCTGATATGACTTATCTGCTTTTGTTTATCTTTTTCTATTCCAATTCCATTGACATACCATAAAGCAAGAATAAATTAAACGTTGGAGTTTTGCGTTCTTTTATTGTCTACACCTACGATTGAACGCTAAAGGTGTACATAAATTAAACATTGGGCATGTCCTTGTTCAGCTGCTTTTTCATACTATTCTGTTATGTATTAGTATAGTGGAAAACTTTTTAGCGTCGAGTCAGTGTTATTAGGTGTCGTTCCAATTTTAATAAGTAGTAGGACAAAGCAGCTCTAGATGTCCACCTTAGGGTCCACCTTAGCTGTGCTTAATAAAGGACACACGAAACTACCGAAGTAGGAGTTATTAGGTGTCAATGTCGACAAGACTAAATGAAATACTAATACATAGGATAATACTCTACATCAGTTGACAATCAAGAAACGTCATACACTTATTTGAGAAACAAATGCAAATACGAATTCGCAGAACGCATACCTTCTACTCTACACATTGTGAAAATATTTTGTTGGCAGTGAAGTAATTTGGAACTTATCTAACAAGCACTTTTTGACGCTCTGTTGTACGTAGAAGACGTTCCTATTCATCACAAACGAGCGTACATTGGTTTTGAGCAAGATGGCTATGCCAACTAGAAGACGAAAAAGAAAACAATATTGTGATTGGAGAACAGGATATCACCCGCCTCCATTGCATCCGAGCGAGAGCGATACCAAGTTCGAGTAAACACCTGGATGGCGCCAAAAGTTTATGGCGCAAGTATTACAATAAATTGATAGCTAATGTAAAGATACCATCTCAAACATAGATTTTATATGTCTTCAGCCAGATACAATACCAAAGGGAAAAATTCAAGAAGGCTTCTGAGTAAACTTCTTTATCTCAAACAGATCAAAAGTAGTTTCATGTTTTGTATTTCATCCGACGAGAATACGATGAGTTGAATATCACGGAAGATAATGCTAATGATTATGGCTTTTCATCAGATGATATAGACCAGCTTTTTGCATGAGCGCTAAATACTTTAGCATGTGTATAAATTGATAATAATTCTGTCGTCGTTATTGGATGACATAACGGGTTGTTCATTCATCAATGTCTTTCCGAGTTTAATTCTACTTTCATATTATTATTTATTATCACAAATTCATTTATCTCTACGAAAGCTTGCTAGTTGTATGTCGTGAGATGAGACAAAGCTAAATATATCCATCGGAGTTGACTTTCGGCAAAACATGCATAATGACCCTGTTTATAGTACATGCAAAAACATTTCTTATCGGCTGCATTCATTCTAACACCATATTTTTATCTCAGCCGAAATTCCAAATCCATGAATATCCGTCTCTTTACAATTCATAATAATACCCATCTTACCCATCTTTTTTTTTTTTGGAATACAAGCTATTATCTTCAAGCGGCAGCATCAAAATACAAATACCAGAAACAACAGAACTTTATCTGCTTATCCGCTTATTCATAGGTTGTGTAATAAGCACTTTACTATTTCTAACTAATACCCTGTATATGCAAAAGTTATTTCTCAAAAAGGCCTCTCCCGCAATCACTGTTCATTGTCTCTTTGTGGAACAAACACTGCTTGCATGCAAGTAGTTTTTTTATTACAATCAAAATTTTATTTATACAGATACTCTCTACTTGGACCAAATTTACCAATATTAATGATTACTACTCCTTTTTCTCAATTCGTCAAGATCATTTGTTACTTCAAACTTAGCCTCTTCGTATATGTCTTTCTCGGGTAAAAATTCCAGCATGAGAATCTCCACTAGGACAGTAGCCACCTTAAACAAAGCAAGCGCTGCAACAAGATTCTCAAGCAACGAAATCAAACTGAATTCTCCGATCTCCCCGTGCTGTTCGAATACGAACCGAATACCGTGTCTTTCTTTTAGTATGTACGATCCATCTGCTTGATACAAACTCTCAACAGCCTTATACTCGTTTCCGTCTATCACCCGAGGAAGATATTTGTATGAAAACTTGTCCTTCTTGAGTTTGACGTTTCGGTATTCAATCACAATGACAATAACGATTCCCGATGATCTATACTGTTCCCCACTTTTGGCGCCGGGAGCAGTCGACGGCGCCTCCAAATCAGCTCCAGCAGCCTGTAAGAGTTCGCTTACTTTTATGATATCTCCATCTGCATTGGGATTATCTTTCATTCTTGTTGCACTAGTCCATTCCTTGAATACTGTCTTCCCATCGGAAAACATGAGTTTCCCGTCCATTATACCGTTACGAAGTGCAATGGATGTTGCTCGACCACGGATGGAATGCTCGATCATTAGAGTGTAGTCTTCGATATCACCTATGTATGATTCATTGGTAATCGTTTGAGTTGGTGACATATTCTCATTGAAGATACAAGGATCGGTCGGTGTGGATGGTGTTAGGAAGTTGCACCCTGTCGGAGGCACATAACGCCGAACTATTGCGCGGGTTGTTACAAAGGCCACTCCTGCACCATCTGGTGGATATTGGACTGGGTTGTGGATATCGGATTGTGAAAAAGGTGAATTATCGTAAAGTCGCTCATTAGTCATTCACAGTTACTCTTGAAACAAGATCTCTACTTACTCTCGTTCGCCCCCCAATAGACACACGGAAGAAGTTTATTGCAATATGCTGGAGCCGTTAGCGTTGATGGAGCTTGAAGTGATATTCTAACTGCTCCCTCGACTGGTGCTTCCTATGGTAATGTAGAAAATTTCGATAAAATTAAAAGTCGAGAAAATCGGAACAAATGGCATCAAGGTATTATTGGTATTATACCTTTCGCAAATAACCCTGATTAGCAATTATTGTATATAAAATGTATGCAAAGATTGTCATTTGAAATACACGATATAGGAGACCAAGTCTTTTGCTATGTGCAGTAAGGGTATAAGTTAGAATGACCACGAATGAAGACATATATCGACTAAAGCAGTGCACTACAACTTACTCTTTGACTTTCACCATTTTGAACGTCTCGTATCTGTCGTAAGTTCAAAACATAATCAATCAATACAAATTGTTCAAGTAAGAGATAATCTCGTTTTTTTCATTATTACTTACTGCAATAAATTTTTCAAGAGCTTCATCGTAAGTATAGGCTTTGGTTAGTTAATATTTATTATACAAAATTCAATATAATTGATTAATTCGTAGTCAAACTACGGATTGCGGGTAGCACTCTATTTATAGAGTGTGAAAAAGCGCTATTTTCAGTTATGCAAGGATTGCCGTCGTCATTTGTATTACAAATAAAAGGAAACATCAATTTATGGACATCTTGTTCGATTATCAACTGACCCTCATTGTTCGCTTTGGGGTGCAATTTATACAATCGAATCAGTGTATGCTCAGCTATGCAACTGTCCAAATCTATACATCTATACATATTTCTATATCGCGTAATCATTGTAGTATAAGTATACTGAGATTTGTACCATCTATCCTTGTTAAAACATACACATCAAGGCTTTTTTTTTAAGTTAAACATACGCATATATTACATCCTACAAACTCAGAGTTCTATCTTTATTACCTCCTTGATATATAGAAATGGCTGTCACGTGACTCATTCAACCCCTTTACTACTTGAATTTAACTATTATAACTGCAAGTGATTTCTGCGGGATAGGGTAGTATCTAACGAAATTCAAGCCCAAAACGTATTTACATATTCTTGTTGAAATTGAAATTGGTTATAAAAACGACCTTTGTCCTGAGCTAAAACGTTCATGTCTCAACAGAAATGAGCTTCTAACTCTTGTTCTGAAATATCTAATTACCTGATGAAGTGAAAAATCAAACCGTAAATAAACATAAACATGATCGCCCCTGCATAATAATAACGTCCCTGAAAATCGACTTAGCATATGCATTATTATTATAATTAGACTTGTCGTAAAGAAAGTGCGTATTGTTATAATATAGCGTTAATGTTAAGAAAGCAGGTTGTACTAGCGTGTGAAAATTTTACGGAAATTAGGTAAACATCTTAAGAGTCGTAGACTCGTCTGAAGACAATTCCTCCAACTCGTGTCTCTAAATCTTCAAGTCGGTCAATTTGCTCAACGCTGATTAAATAAGCCTAGTCATGGATTCGGCAAGAAATCCAGGGTTTATTTAAAACTTATTGGGGAATTTATCGGAAAGGAACAAGTATGTGAAGAGTTATGTCATGGCTTCTTCGAATTACCAATCTTACAATAAGCCTGAACTTAGTACGATGCCTATTCTGCATTGTCTACTACTATGAAGATAAAAACTAAGTATTTTTTTCTCCTGAAATCTATGATTTTTAAGTAATACAGTGAACTCTTCCTAAATTCTCTAATGCAATTTCTCTCTAAATGCACAGGAAGTGCTCAGTCCCATGATAGGACTTAAGAGATAAGTGCACATTCTATATTCTGCAATTGCAAGCTTTCTTTCGGTCCCATCTCTATATGAGTGTTTCTCTAAATGCAATATCATGTGATCATGGACGTAGTATGATCTACAAAAAGCCACGTAACAAAGTCCACGATACCTTTGCTGTTACATAATCGTATTAAGGGTTGAACTGCCTATATTCGGGTCATCACGTATTTTGGCTGAGTTATGGGGGTAAAGAAGGTATTGTATTATAACGTTACAGGCTCTTATTTATGATATGGTGCAAGGCACCTATAGTCATCAAACAAATTCATACAACTTTAAAACATATCTAGTCCACCAATTTAAACAATATTAAAAATGTAAACCGTAAAAACGATAGATCTAACAATTTTCTTTCAGATTTATGGTTTAGTTTTTTTTAATTACATTATATTATGAAAAGTTATTAGGGATTAAAGTCGGACGCTTTTATTATTAATCTTCGAATTTCGGACGCCCATCATTCGGAATTTGACCAATAAAAATCTTTAAAAATTACGTGACTTAGAATAGCAAATTCCATTATTATAGATTAGTATCACATCGCGTAAAAAATCAATTAGTAAAAAAAAATACCTCTTCATTTCAAAGGAAAAAGAAAAGCCAACGACCAATCTAGAGATACGAAAGGACGCTATACATCCAAAAAGAAACATCACATCGCTCCGGTTATAGCTGATTACGATACTGAAGTAAATGAATTTAACAAATTAAATGTTAGCGATGGAATGTGGGGCAAATGATTACCTAATAATGTTTCGCTAATGGCTTAAAGAATCATTATCGCCGATAAATATCACCGAATTTCATATGTATATGTTAGCCAATAAAATTTAAGAAATTGATAATATCACGTGAATATCGACATTTGAAAATTTCGGACTGATCTACATTTTTGATGACTATAAGTGCCTTGCACCATAGGCCCTTACGGTATTAGAATTTCAATGAACCATATAAAGCTTTTTCACATTTTTACATATCTAATAAAAAAAAGAAAGACTCTTTTGTATTAATACGTGGATTTATTAATTACGAATTCACTTCAAGTGGAGTGCCAAATGTACTAACGTCACTAATTTTAATGTGAATCAAATGATAATTCTATGAAGTTGAAGATGTGGAGATGTAGTAGAAGACGTATATGTGGAAAATGTAGAAGAGGATGATAGTGTAGGAAGACGAAGGTTATCCATAAGGAGTCACTTAACTGCCTAGAAACGCTTGCACTATATCTTGTGCAGCAAGATATTGATGATGTTGTCAGGTTATAACACAAATCGTGGATTAGTACAATTAAGTAAGGTTGTAAACCGACTTGAGAATGCTTCTCGCAAGCAAATAAATATTACGAGCTTTCTACAATAATAATATATATGACAATTTCCAATAAACTTTCTTTTATTGAATAATTTGAATAGACATCTTTCTCTCAGCTTGGATATTCATTTCGATAACGCTTATTACAATTTGTTAATGGCGGCATAGTAAATATTATATTATGCAACGAGGTCACGTGAAATAAAATGATTGGTGTTCTCTAAATGCACGCTCTCCATAAATGCAGGTCCCGACGACGTGCACTTAGGGAGAGTTCACTGTAATTGTTTTCTGTTTTTGAATAAAAATTAGTTTGGCTTCAGACCGATATCAAAGAAAATTTATGTTGTGTGCCTTTTTAGCTTGATGTTTTTTGTATTTTGCTAAGATGTGTATACGATGCGTCGAAAAAAATAAAAATAAAATTATCGCAAGATTTGTATAAATGCACAGCACATTCTAAAATGAACATCGTATAACCACGTACCAGGAAATTGCCTTCCTATTCTATATTCAGCGCGTAAATATGTTAGTAAAATCAATTGTTAGTTACTTGATAACGCATCAATTCCGCATGAAAAATATGTGCACCCGAATGCTTAACTAAATTAGAAGGAAACTAATCATAATCGTACGAATTTTGTAGCTAGTAGAATAGAATGTAATTATATAAGGAGCGTAAAACTTCCATTGTTAAAGGTTTTTGTAGTGTTGTAGTGCTGTGGTGCTGTGGTGCTGTGTTGACTTGTGCCATTCTTGTGTTAATAATACGTTCAAAATACTACGTGCGCATAAAACCATTCTACTCTTTCAACTTCCAATTAACGAATCGAAGTAATACGGCCCTTCTTAATAATTCAGGAAATTATATCAGTTGTTGTCAAAACTATATAGATATGTTAACTAACCAGGTTCTACATCCTCTTGGGTCAAGTTTTTATCCATCTTTGAAACATTGACAACGTCGACTCCATCGATAATAGTAACATGAATTGCTACATAAAGTAAACACCATGTATTGTAAATAATGCTGACAAATAAAGAAACTTCACCAAACAAAATATCCGTAAATCTATGCTTGTTTAATTGCCAGTCTATCATTTAAAAAAGGATACTGGATTTAAGTTGAAGCGTTTTTCAAAAGTAGATTTTTTTTCTCTTTGAGTTCTGTCATTCTGAAGCGATTATTGTATAATAATTATAGGTTACCCGGATGATTAATTATGTGAGATCGACTGTTATGTACTGCAACAAAGCCAACTGTTAATGCTCTCAGGCATTTACAGGCACGACAGCAAAATATCTTTAAACGGGCGGAAACTGTTATCGAAATACCCGGACCCATTTTTAGCCAGTCTAGAAAATTCTCTTTATTGTACCAGGTCCTATTAATGCTTTACTTGAAAGTCGAAAAAAATTGCCTATTGCTTTTCATAATGTGGCAAAATACAGGACTATCTTCACCAGTTTGGGTCGCGGACGAGGTGGCTAAAGTGAGGCCAATTCTATCGATTATCAAGTTACACGACATGTTACACATACATGACACACATAATCGATCGATCAACGGAGAGCCAAGTTATCATTCCGAAGATGACTAACTTCATTGATATAGTTGACTTGTCTTCAGATCTTTCATCGGATTATGAAAAGCTTTATGAAAGCAACAAATATACAGATGTTTCGATCAATGTTGGAAGAGAGCCAAACAATAAAATCTTTCTTGCTCATGCAGTGGTATTGTGCACGAGAAGCACATATTTTGAGAAGATGATGGTTGAAAATACAGAGTTTCAACGGACAGTTATGACTTTTGAGGATGTAACATCCGAAGTCTTTGAAACTTTACTTAGGTAAATGTTTATTAACTTAAAATGCTAATATTACAATCATTTTGCAATGGTTGCGTACTCAATCAATTTTACCATAATTTACTGCACTTGTAGATTCATTTACACAGGAAAAGTGACATATGATTCAAGGGAGGTCATCAACTGGATCAGTCTTTTAGATGTCGCTTGCAGATTCGAATTAGATAACTTTGTTATCACAGTTGGAGACTATTTGGTTAGTCACCAGAAGGAATGGATACAACACAACATTTTTGCAATCCATAAATGTGCCTTATCCTCAAGTCTATTAAACAAATTGTTGAATTACTGCAACAACATTATGGTATCATCTCCAGAAATTATGTTCAAGCCCGATAATTTGGCGAATCTACCAAAAGAGACTTTGATTACTCTTCTCAAACATGATGAACTTAATATGAAGGAAATTGATATTTGGACATCAATAATAGAATGGGCTACAAATCAAGTTCCAGGGCTCATAAATGAACCGGACAGCTGGTCATCTGAAGATTTTACTAAAGTCAGAGCAATTATATCTGATTATATTCAGCATATAAGGTTTTTTGATATTTCATCTGAAGATTTTCAGGAGAAAATTTATCCATATGATGAGTTATTAACAAAAGAGTTGCGGCGTGATATAGTTTTTTATCATATGAATAAAAATTACAAACCAAAATCAATAGTTTTACCTCCAAGGAAAAGTCAAGCAATTGATGATAAGAACAAGACTAATGAAGAGGACAAAACTCCTAATATTAATGTTGATATTGACTCAGTCATCATTAATGAACAACAGGCATCATGGATTACACAAAAGATAATGGAATCAATGAAGTTGAACACAAAAAGTCAAAGAGCATCTGGGAAGAGCAGTTGTTTCTATAAACTCACCCTGCTTTATAGGCACAGTAGGGATGGTAATACATATAAAAGTTTTCGACAAATGTGTGCTGAGAAAGGGCCCACAGTAGCTGTTGGGAAAGTGTTGAATACAGAAGAAATACTTGGTGGATACAACCCAATTGCTTGGTGCACTCTCTCTTCATTTCCTAATCATAAGACAATTACTGATTTTAATTGGGTTCAAACTTCAGAAAGTTTTATATTCTCATTAAATAAAGATAGTTTGGATGAAAGCATAGTGAATTTTGTTGTTGATAGTCAGCATGCTGTTTGTGAACATCAATATATCTATCCTTGTTTTGGGGGTGATATTGATTTACATTTTGGTGGTTTATTTCCTAATGGAAAGTCTATTGAACCTCATTCTAGAAAATTATCATACCCGATTGCAATAAGGCCTACCACAGATACCACAAATACACGTTTTAATTTTAAATGGCTGAACTGGGAAGTATTTTCAGTTACAAAAATGAATTAATATTAGTGGCTATATGTCTGTATTGAGATTTATTATGCACATCAATAAACTTAAACTGTATTGTTGGCAAATTTGCCTACAATTTAGATTTGCCAACAAAATCGCTTTATATCACCTGATGCTACTAATTAAATACTCCCAACATATATATAGTTTGCCGGAAATTGTAGCTATTAATATGTAAAGTCACATGACTGTGTGTTGGGTCATGTTTGTCTGCATATAATATGCAGATCGCTTGCCGATCCTTAACCTTAAGTATATCGATCAATAGCTAATAACGTTATAATACCCATACGTTTAGCATCGTAAACTGTTAGTTAATATTTGTGGTAGATATTCTTATTAAAAAAAGCCTTATCCCACCAACTTTGAAGTCACATCAGACTTACATTACATATTTCAGTGAGGAAGATATACTTGCGGAATATGAATGTGAAAACCAGAGCTAAAAAAACAACAATAAAAGCTCTGAAGCGAACAAAGCAGTAGAAACAATGTAAGAGTTCAAGAAAGAGGAAGAGGTGTGTGGGAGAGGGGAAGTTTAAGGGGCTCATAAGTGTCTGTCTTCAAATGGTCATTACCATTACTTCTCAATAACTCATCTGTTTATGTTTACTGAGATCTTTGGCTCTTTAGACTCACAACAAAGTAAAGAAAAAAAATATATAATCTAAGAATATTGGAGGATATCGGTAGTATGGGAAGCCTCATACGAAGTTTTTTTGTCGATCATTTCAATAGTAAACTTCAAAATGCTACGACCTTCGAACGAAGAAAGTTACGACCTCTAAACTTTAGCAGCAGACAGTTTAACCCCCGTTTTATCATCTGATGGCCATTTTTATGAGAAAAATCGATTTTAAAAAGTCTCTAATAAGCAAACTAACGTTTATGTCAATAAAAACGAAAAAAACAAAGCCGTCAGATTGTTGATAAATGAATCGAGCGTATTCGATTTCAATTTCATGAGTGTACCTGTTTTCTATCAGACTGGGTAAAATCGATTTTTATTAATAGGCAAATGATCGATAAGTCTGTTTTTGGCCAAATCTTTTTTTCACTATTTAAAAATTCTCGATAAGTCGGCCAACGGCTCCAGTTCTCTCTTAGTTGGATGTGTCTCGATAAGTCGGTTTCACGTGACAATTTGTAAGTTTCTTGGTGGACCATGATTAATTGTCCAATACAATACACATTGGCTACACAATTGGCAATGTTATAACAAAAGACACCAAAGAGCCAAACATGCATTTAGATCAGATTAAAGTCATACGATTAAAGTCATACATTAAAGCACTAGACATGTCATTAGATCATGTGATTAAAGCAGTAAACATATCGTTAGAATCATACGATAGACATGCATTAGAATAATACGATTAAAGCACTAGACATGTCATTAGATCATACGATTAAACCAATAAACATGTTGTTAGAATCATACGATCAAATACTAAGATGTAGACGTTATAGATTTGTGAATTTGCTATATAAATAAAGGTAATTGATCCCTCTGTCTTCGTTGACATCGTCATATAAGAAGAAAACAAGTCGATTCTCTAAGACAAGCTAGTCTGCAAGATTATTTTGCGATGTAATTATTAATAATAAACGGTTTATATCTTTGATCACGTGGTTTTCGATAAGTTGGCCGACTTATCGAGACTGACCGTGTATTAATATACTACTTATTTGAATTTACTTCACGTCGTAAATCCATAATATTTCTATTTATGGAGGAGAAGCCATCTGTGTCCAATGAAGGGATAATATTTGAGCCTGCACGACCTGGCAGGTTGTGCGACATGGCGAGTAAATTCGTTAATATTAAAGTCTTAGCTAGATTTATTGCAGTATTGAAATTAAACAACGTCAAGAAAGTTACACAATGTTGATATGGTGTGTCCAATTTTTCAGCAAATCTGGTTACGACTTAAATAAGTAGTATTAGTATTTTAAATTTAATACTATATTAAGCTTGGCAAATGTCAGGGGGTGTCTTTGTATCACTGTATAAAATTATGTAAGTTATTACCAAACGCATTGAACGCATTGAGATTGGATATCCCGTGTCATGTGTGATGGCCTAAGCAAACGATCCTCTCGATTTGTTTTTTTCTCTGGAAATCGATGTTCTTATTGGTATAGTTAAGATATGTGAAAACCATATTAATAAATACCATCCGTTGTCTGTACATAATGTAACCATACCAATAGATGCCGAGTCAATTAATCATACTTGACTAATTGCTTTGATTATATGGGATATTGGGCAAAGTTTAATGTTTATCGGTTAGGATAGTTGGCAGTACCGTAAAAAAAGGGGGGCATTGTAGGACCAATTTCTTCGAGTGAGATTTAAACCCTCCTAAAATGGAATCCAAATGAGAAAGTGTAACGGAAGAAGTCAATATCCAGCTAGCATACATGCATATTTTTCAATCACACATTATAACTTCCAGTTGCGAGTGAAACAGTAAATTTTTAGTTTCATGTAGAATGTAGTAACATCACTAGCATTAGTTCCTGGTTTCAAGTCGCTCATGGTTTCGTTTTTGTATTATATGCATTCAAATGATCTAATTTAGAGTTTCGGACGTGATGCTTCAGACTGTCGCTAGAAGACACTCCAAGACATAAAATCTTGCTTGTCGCTGGTTTTCTATTTTTAAAGACTTAAAAGCCAATAAACGGATAAAGGTTATCACGTTTATTATAAGCCAGACGTATGGCTATTACTGTTATCCCTACGAAACTTGCATTACACTCGCCATGACAACACCAAGAAATTCTGCCGAATAGAATTACGACAAAAGGTCCAGTTAGAAAGCTTGAATCCGATTAAAGCGAATAAGTCTACGTACTTCTATGGCCTCCTCATCTTGTTAGCTTTGGCGTTCAATCATAGGTGTCATTATTAATAAACGCAATTACATCTCTCTTATAACACAAGACTTGATAATAAAAACGTATGAGGACAGCTTTATTATATTTATTATGTAAGAGTTCTCTGGTGTAACGTCATGGTAAATTAATAAATAACGCACCCGCCCGTCACTGATTTCACAATCCAACCAAGCAGAACGGAAAGCCAGCAAACTCTTTATTAAATTTTTTTTTCATTTGTACATATATACTAATGATTCGATATATTTACGTTATCTAATCACTTAAACGTTAGATCCGGAAATTGTTCTTATATTTTGTAATAACTATTTTCAACCCTTCTTGATTCTTTATCTTTTACTGTAAAGCTGCGAAATGGTTGATGGGGAGATATACGCTCTTGTTATAATTACCTTTATGTCCTTCATATGCGCTACGGTAATGGCCATAGCATTCACTCGTGCAAGAAATAATCCAATGATGGTCATCTTCTCAGTGACCGTTATATTTTGTAGCTTAGTGGATCTTTCGGGGTTTATATATAATTTCGATTGGGATGACGCTCCCGATGGAGTTTGCTATTTGCAGGCAATGGCGGTAAGTTTTAGGTACAAAATTCGGAGTCAATATTTAAATACAGCAAATGCAGATTTTAAACATTCATTTTGCACTACAAATAGAGACAACTGGTGGGGTTTTCATTATGGACTAGCGGATTTAGCTTCACCGTTCAAACATACCGTCTTATTGTTTTCAATAAAAGAGACAACAAGTTGAATCGGCATTGTTACGGACTTATAGCCACGTTCTGTGTGGTCGGAACTATGATAGTATCCATTGTATCAATCAAGACAAAAGCTGTAAGGAGTGGAAATTATCGTTGGTATGTGTTCTATTCAATATACGAGCTTTAGTTATTGACACATTAGCAATACTACACTTATTCACTACTATACGATCTTTTTTTTTTCCACATCGCCAGTGATATAGCCAATCCAACTTGGGTTCGTCTGATGGGATCCAATGGTGCAAGTTTGCTATTAACTCCTGCAAGCACATATTTCTCCGCCGGCGCGGCGTATGAGGTAATTCGCCAGTTGGACCGATTCAAAGTACAATCGAACGCTTCCAAAAACACTACAACGCTTGCACTACAGTCTACCAAAAAATCGACAACAACAACAACAACAACAACTGATATTGAAGCCGATCATCCACAAACGTTATCTGATGAACAAAGCATTGACTATCACACAAGTAGCGATAGGTTGAACGCATTACAACAACCAGACAAGATTAAGGTACAGACAACAACAACGACGACGACGACGACAACGGCAGATATTACCGAACCCGTTAATGGCGAAAATAAACCTGACGCTATCGTGCCAGTTGGAGATGAGCCTTTAGCGCTGGAAGGTTCGGGTAAAATCTGTAATAACGTCGCTCGAACTGCTGCCTTCCGTATGGTTCTCTTTGCCATTGCGTACTTTCTTTTGAATTTGTTGACCTCCGTCGGGACCCTTATGGACGCTATTCGAGACGTACCATTTGATCCACGTCCAGGTTGGGCTGACTTTGCCGGTTCAATAATCGGAATTATCATTTTTTCGATTTTTGGAACGGCGTCTGACGCTAGACAATGGTTTGGTAAGAAATTAAGAAAAATTTTTAGATATTAAAGGTGTATTTTGGGACAATAAATACTATTTATAAAACAATAAAAATAAATAATTATCTTTGTAATAATGATGGACGCTTCCAATGCTTGGGATCGATATTTTTAGTGAGTACTAAAGTGTTACGGTAGACAACAGAATACAAGCTTTCAATTTACACATTATTTGATCTTAAGCTCCGATTCTATTGATAACTGTATAAGCATAACCATACATAGCTCATGTCGGATGCTGATGTTTTGTATGTGTAATTAAGAGTTTAACTCGCATGCATTATTAGAAAAAGAGTTTTTGTATCCCCTTTGAATACGTTAATAAAGAATAAGTGTATACATGCGAGAATCAACAATAATGCTCGTTGTTCAATTGTTGCAGATTCGATCAGTGCAGCTATTTCATGCTTTAATCGGGGAGATAAGGTTATTATTATGGCTTATCCTATTCATTCACTACAGTAATGATGGACAGTATTACAGTCAATCTCTTTATATTAATTGCCGATCATTTGCCTATTAATAAAAATACAATAGCTTTAATTTCCTACAGCCTGATAGAAACAGGTACACTCATGAAATCGAAAGCTCGATTCGTTTACCAACAAACTGACGGCTCTTTTTTTATTGACATAAACGTTAGTTTGCTTATTAGAAACTTTTTAAAATCAACTTTTTTCATAAGATAAACCAAAAAATGGGGCCATCAGATGATAAAACGGATGTTAAACTGTCTGCTGCCAAAGTTTAGAGGCCGTAACTTCATTCGAAGGTCGTAGCATTTTGAAGTTTACCATTGAAATGATCGGCAAATGATCGGCAAAAAAAACCTTTGTACAACGACACCTCATAAGTGCAATCCCCCTTTAACTAAATGCAACACTTTGTAGTGAATAAGTGCCCCTCGTTTTCTGCGATTTGTGGTCCCGCCCTTAATGGTCTAAGTGCAACTCACGTGATTACCGTAATGTTATTTGTTACGGGAAAATGATCAAATACGTATCGAATTTCAAACATCACAATTCGCGCGCACAACATTATTTGTTGTAGATCCAGCTTTACGCGTGAGAAAAAAAATCTTTGTGATGCATTGCTATTTTCTTTTTTCAGTGCTCGAGTTTGATCACGCTTTGAAACAGCAGATTGATTATATTGTTACTAGCGGAAGATATCGTTTTTGAGCTTCCTGAAAGTGACGATATTATTTCTTTATTAGTGGAGAACACGATGAAGAAACTGACGATAATAGTAATGAAACCCGTGCTCATGAGGCACTAAAAAGTTTAGAAAACGTAAAGACATTTCTAATTCAACAAGAGGAAACCGGTAGATATTTAAAAGCTGTTAATAGTTTGGAGAAATTCATTCGCGAAAAAAAGGTAAATTCGATGAAACAAAGTGCATACCACAATTCTTAGTTAACAATTAGGAATATTTATAGTCAAACTTTTACGTAAAGTTGGCTTGAAAGTTTTAATAAAGGAAAATCTGTAAATCGTTAAAATGTCTTTCCTGATATGGAACCCCCCCAATAAATGCAAAATGCAACGCAAGCACTCGGTCCCAAGGTGTTGTTGCATTCAAGAGGAGTGTCACTGTATATCGATATGGATTTTCATATGGGGCTTCCCGTATTGTAACACTACCGATATCTAACCCCCCAGAATATAGTACCCTATCATAGCTCGAATAAAGCATAATTTAAAAATGTTACCTAAAAAATTTTTGCAAATAACATCTTAACATTGTTCTCAAAAATGCATCATAAAATTATGTGTCAAAATTGCCAAAAATTGGCCTTAAGGAATAGCATAATTCAGAATTTAGGCTCGATCAATTTGGTTTAAGAATATTAATAAAGCTAACCTGCCGTTTGTTTTTTCTCAGTCAAGGCAATAAGCTTTTGGTTACTTCTATCCCTAAACTGTGAGGATTTTATCTCTTCTGTTTCCTTTCCCTTCTCCAATTAGACATTATTACCACACTATGTCGAAACAAATTAACCAGTATTATGAACTCGTGTAATACATAATAAAAATACACGATAAGAAGCGCTTTAGACTATAATTAATCAAGCACATTCCTCCACTATAAGATTGAAATTTAATCTCGCAAACAAAAACTTTTATTTTTATTACCTTTGTATGCTTAATTTCGTACATACATTGTCTTTCGCCCCTCCCGCTTAATTACCTCCTCCAAACCACAATTTCACTAACCTAAGGAAGAGGTTATCATTCAGACCCTTTCATTTCTGACGAATTACTGTTTAAACTTCAACCGTTGAAAGGTTGGTGTTTTTTATTCACCATAAATTTACCTCTTCTTTCCACTTTCCCCTTAAGTATCGCCCACAGGTTCTCGATTGGGTTCATATCTGGCGAATAAGAAAACTAATAAAAATCCAAACACCATGGCGTTCAGTTATTTCACTTGCCTTGTGGATAGGGTGTTGAAAACGCAATCAGTTAATGGTAATGCGTTCGTTTATGATGCACAACACTGTAATACCAATTTTGGATTAGTTCTGGTTACGCTACGTGATATTTTATGTAGTGGATAATTCGTTGCGTAATTAAAAATGACAGAAAATTTTCGCAACTTGATTTCAGACCGGAGATGTTCTGACAGATTACCAAACAAACATGCAAGCACCGACATTGTAAACATATAATCGTTCTTATATAACAGGAGGTTTACTAATAAATCAGATATGTTTTATGATAAAACGTTCTTATAGGAGATTGTTCCTTTACAGAGGGTTCTTTTATGGAGGTTCGACTGTATTTGGATATTATTTGTTATTCTAATAATCCAAACCTGCATATACTGTATAAGTCTTACAAACTATATTTGCAAACATGTCTAAATCACCATAACGTAAGTAAAAGATACCCCTACCCCCCCCTCTTGGCATCCTTCGTCGCATATAACTAGATCGATTACCTTGATCTAATTGAGCTAATCATTTTCCATTAATTAAACCGAATTACGTAGCTCAGGTATCTCTAGCTTGTCAATAAAGTCGTAATGATTAACAGGTCCCATAATAATAACTATGGCAATAATTGTCATATTTAATTTGGTTTAAAATGCTAGCGATTCGTTAGAGCATAATTTCTTTGTTAAGTTAATCCACTGTTAACTCTTCCCTCTTTAATTCGGATTTTCGGTAATCGGACGTATAAATTAAGTATTGTAAAAGACAACTTTAATTCAGCCTCATTCCCATATATATGTAATAAATTTAGCGTTAATTCAGTCATTCAGTATAATTTGACAACAAAAGATGACAACGGCGGCAATTCATGTCCTGAAATCGCTAAACAATAAGGATTCAACTTTTAATCGAAGAGAACTTTACACAACAAGGACATCATAATTATCTTGGCATAATCACAAGGGGCGTTCATTTTATTGGCCTTCGATGGACAACTAATGTCGCACATACTGCATACCTTGTGCATTCCCTTGCAAAAACAGAAAGAAAGAAACTTGTTACACTCTAAGCAAATGTGAGTGACTAAGCATGCTTGTATTTTTTATTATTAATGTGCATCTAGGTGTATTGTCTCTATCAATTTTAACGAATGAATTGGCATGCAAAATCGTAAATATTACATTAAATATTACTAATGTTCTATTAATGGCAAGAATGGTTAACCACAACCACAACAGCAGCCACAATAGCAGCCACAACTATTTCTTTTATTTACTTTCTTCGTCGTCGTCAAGCTTATGGGATTTGTTTTTTCTCATTTGGTCAATGTCATCTGTCGCTTCAAACTTGGCCTCTTCATACAACTGTTTCTCGGGCAAGAGCTTCAACATGAGGAATTCGACTATGATGGCAGCCAATCCGAATAGAGCAAACCCAGCAACAATGTTTTGGAGTAATGCAATCATATTGAATTCACCAATCTGCCCATGTTGTTGAAATACGAACCGAATACCATGTCGATCTTTTAAAATGTACGATCCATCTGATTGGTACAAATTCTCGACGGTTTTGTATTCGTTTCCATCAATCACTTGAGGAAGATATTTGTAAGACAGCTCGTCCTTTTTGAATGGGACGTTCGTGTATTCAATCACAATCACAATCACGATACCAGACGATCTGTATGTTTCTCCTGGAGCAGCACCGGGAGCAGTTGATGGCGCCTCCAAATTAGCACCGGCAGCCTGTAACAAATCGCTTACTGTAACGATATCTCCATCTGCTTCGGAGTTTTCAGCCATTCTTGTTGCATTAGTCCATTCCTTGATGACGGTTTTTCCATCTGCCGACATGAGTTTTCCATCCATTATACCGTTGCGAACTGCAATAGATGTCGTTTGGCCTCGGATAGAATGTTCGATCATTAAGGTGTAGTTTTCAATGTCACCGATGTATGATTTGTTGGCAATAAAGTCGAATGGTGTTGTTTTTGCATCAAAGATGCAAGGATCGGTTGGAGAGGATGGGGACAGAAAATTGCAGCCGGTTGGGGGAGGGTAGCGTTTAACTGACGCACGGGTCGTTACAAAGGCTACACCGGCTCCGTCCGATGGAAATTGGACTGAACGATGAATATACGGAAATCGTAAATGAATAAGTATTCGGCAAAACGAATGCCCAGAGTTTTACAGCACAACTTTATTAAATTAAATATACATATTTTCAATTTGCATATCTACTTACTCTCATTTGCGCCCCAGTAGATACATGGGAGAGGGTTGTTACAGTATGGAGGAGCCGACAGTGTCGATGGAGCCTGAAGAGATATTCTGACTGCTCCGTTGACTGGGGGTTCCTAGTAGCATGAAGAAGGTTAATAAAGGCTTTAAAGTCGACAAAGTAGTATTTCATAATATATACCTTACGAAGATATCCCTCATCAGCAATTATTGTATATAGTATATATACGAAGATCCCCAATTGAAACAGACGATACAGAATACCGAGCCTTTGGCTAAATACAAATGAAAGTGGATGTTATTATGTGATATAGATGTAAGAGAAAAACAGCGATGAATAAAACAACCATTAAGAATATACTCACTCTTGAACCTTTACTATCTTGAACGTTTCGTATCTGTCGTCAAAAACCAAACCGATCAAATTAGTATCAAAAATTCAATCCACGGAAAATTCAATATATCTCTAACACATACTGAAAAAAACGTGTCAAATTTATCTTCATCCTGGTTGATATGTGAGCCGTTATGGGTGAAATTATATCTAAAGGAATGAATGTATGAGAATAATGATGCAGTGGTTGGGATTGTGGATAAAAAGTAGGCGAATGTCCTATTTATATTTATTACTGCCAAGAAACATTAATGCATCCGTTATTCGATTTTCGGAATTTACCAATAAGGTTTGATGTTTGCAGGTCAAACACATGTATTCTAATTCTTTATTCACCTATCAAAGAGGTCAGGTTCACTATCTGAGTCACCTTCCCAACTGGTCCTCCGTTCTCCCATTCCGATTTATCCTCGACTGTTATGGTATAACGAGGCTGACTTTCAATAATTTGAAAACGAGATTCTTGTTACTTACAACTCGTAGCCAACCACTTTTCAAAATCTTCTATTTCGGTATTTGCAGAGTCAAAGCCCGCATGTTTTCCCACCAAGGATGTTGACGGACTTGTATCATTGACATTTCAACGCTCTAGACTAAGCTGGTTACCAGCAAGCCAGCACAGCTTTTGAAGAGTGACGATGTCAGATATAGTAACTGTGCTGTCCCCAGGGAAAAGTAGGCACCACCGATCAACGATTCAAATCTCAAAATCGCGAGTTAGGGAATCCGTTTGATGATCCATTTCCATTAAACGTTTGGAACGAAGTTGGCTTTATCGTTATCTGTTATGGACTAACGCTAATAAGTTTGTTTTGCATTTTTGTGGAAGTATTTTTTTCCATAGTTAAATGTTTTATCCGATTCTGTCCCTTATAAGGAAACCTCCGCAAATAAGTAGTGCATTAAACAAACTTGGATAATTTTGTTCATCGACTATTTTGATCGCTCCTCTGATTTTAAATAATAGTTGAATGACAACCAGATTGAAATTTTCAATACTTTAATAATTTTCAATTTCCATTTATTGAAGGTAACAAAAACGATGACTTTCAATTTGTTAAAACAATCGACTCAACAAAGTGTTGATGCACAACGTAATATTCGATCGATTATAGGTCCTTGTTGACTTGTAGAACTATGTGGGTACAGCTTAGACCGTAATGTTAGTGCTCCGCAAATCGTCACACATATGCAGCAAACGAATATTAATTAATAATGACGCTATGACCATATAACTACATTTGAAACTTCGTTTAAATAGACTGAGCAATACATACGGATCGCCGACTAAAGCAACTTGATACTATGTTTGATTCGGCAAGACGGCTGTTAGACTATCGACAGTTACTATCATTTTGGTATTAGTTATCACAAATACGGAATTAAACGATTGGTTTCATATTAGACTGATGACACATCAAATATTTGTCATTTGGAACGAGCTGGTACATAAAGTTTATTATCACTTTAACGAAGAAAGATTCGTTATTTCGAAATTAACTAATAATTCACGTGATTTTTGTCGATGTGAATATCAAATATTCTATTATGGTGATCAATACATATTTGTATTCAGTTTAAAGTTTGCAATTCCGTAGTCAACTCCTCTTGTTTCATGTACAGTCAACTCTGTCTATACCGGCGTGAGTGGTTTGGCGTTTTTGGCCGTTATAACGAGAGACCGGTATATGATTCAGCCGTTATAAGGGGTGAGATTAATATACAATCTTTTGGTGCAGCGAAATTGGACCGGTAAAGGCGAAACCGGTATAAAAAGGCCGGCATAGACAGAGTTGACTGTATAACAGAATACTGTCAATACTAGACATAAACATTTTTTATCTTTAGTACGAGAACAGTCGATTCCAGCATCTTCGATCTTATTTGATAGGGAGCAAGCGTATTATAATTTACAGTCTAAGACACAACAATGTGGAAGCTTTAGATCTTTATTGAAAGATTGAGATCGATGATTCTGATTAGTTAATTGTATAACGAACTTTGTTATACGAATAAATTCGCCCAAATGAACGGTTAATTTTATAATGCCTGGTTTTATGAAAACTTCGTTCAACGTTATACACAGTGGCTATAATGACCCTGACTCAGTTTAATAAAATTGGGCTTGATGTAATGAAGATTACTTATAATCTCGCGATAATGATGCTGTTGCGCGATTTATATAAATAAAATGATCTCGATATAACAAAGTTCGTAAATCATCAACATAATTGGTATCGAGCAGAACATCATATTAATATTAATATTAAATTAAACCAATTAAATTGCGATGTTTTTGTGATAAGTTTTATTCTCTTTAACTCATTCTCGCAGCAATTAAAAGACAATGAACAATAGAAGTACGATTAGTAAAAAACCTGCAATAAAGCGAGTTTCTCTAACGGGCGTTCAAAAAAGAGATTTGTGTTTAAAAAAGAAAGCTCAACCTGATTTGACTCATGCAACGCTTGCTAAACTGTATGGAATTAAAGAAAACACTGTCTCTACCATTCTCAAAAATTCATCGTACTGGCTGATTCTAGACGAGAACTGCTGCATATACCGTAATTGAAGCTCTTTATACGTGGTTAGAACACGCAAATCAAGTTTCCCAAGTCATATCTGGTCATATTTTGCAAAAGCCTTTGCAACTCTGGCAAATATCGACACCTTAGATTCTTTTCTAAGATAAAATAGTTATCTGAACAATTGCATACTGTATATAATAAAGAAATTTCCGCTTGATACAATGATGTTTCACGTGACTCAAATACGACCTTCGTTATAACGAGATCGCTCGATATAAAACAACTAATCATATTCTAAGTTAGCTAATTGCGTTTGTACTGACACGCAAAAATCTGAATCGGCACCCATGTTGTGTGTAGTGAGCGATAGAGAAGAGAAGATGGTAGGGGATGTAAAGATGAAATCGATTCTGGACTTGGACCAGTTATTTTCTCTTTGATGGTAGGATGTGAAGGCTAGAGCGTACATTTATGAAGGGTTGACTATACTCTTTTCTTTCAAAGAACCGCAAATTAAATAGTATTGAAGTATATACTAATCTGTTTTCTGTCAAACTCCCTATACGATGAACCTTTTGGTCCGACTTCGTCTTATCGAGAGCCACTGTGTATAGCACTTTAAATCTTTGTTATCCGAAATTAATACTTCGTTTTAAGCCATCTTCGTTCAAGTAAGAGTGCTCGTTAAAGTGAATTTCACTGTGTAGTAGTAACCAGAATCTAACTGCGCATCCCACTTCCCAATAATTCCCCCATATCCAGTAACCCTCGCTCACTCCCTCTCTCTGAAATAATAAAAGGGGCAGCTGCGGCGAACCACGGCTACCCCAACCAACAAAAATTGTGCCGTCGAGACACCCCGAAGGACGTTCGAGACAGAAGCCGTCAGCGACGTGCAATGCCGACAACCTCCGCCCGCCCTACCGCCTTCGTGATCACGGTTGGGCCCGGCCAGGTAAGTATGAGTTGGGGGAAACCGAATAGCAGGTCTATTTATACAAATCGGCGATGAAACACTAGATTGTGGGATTGGTAAATCGCAATTGGTCAAGTAAATATCAATTTAGTCGTGCACGTGCAATTTGCTGCGTTTTTTTATCAGGTGAATAGAACGCAGTAAAGTAGTAAATACAAGTCGGTTGTTATCAAACTGTTTATTTACTGCTGAAGACGCAAAGCGAAAGAAAACAAAGGCTCTACTGCGCGTTAAATGTTTGAGATACAAAACTTGAATACCTCACTTGAGTCGTGAGTCAAGAGGGGTCTGACTAAAAACTAAGGCTCGATAAACACAGTTCCCACATGGCTGGCACGCTATACTAATACGTAAAAGCGAAAACAATAATTATTTTATTTTATTTTATTGTAATTTATTCTTTTTTCCCCCTCACATAATGATAAGCGGGACATAAGACAACAGTTTGATTAACAAGTATTTCTTGAAGAATTTCAGAGGTAGAGGTAAGTAATATAGCATTGCTAAAAGGCTGTAAGACACTTGATGTAATCGCATATGAAACTTTCCCATGTTGTTTCCATGGCTAGGCAAAAAGTTTTAATTCTCGCAGGCTGATAAAGAGGATGCTGCGTCAGGTAATGTAACCGTGCACTATTTGCGATTACTTGTAGGTAGTCTGCAATAGCAAATTCTAGCAATAATGCTTCGCCTGGCCTGGGAGATCGTACAATCCAATTTCAGTATCGTAATTCACGTGGTTCAGGTGAAGCACCCAAAAGTATCTATGATCTGCATTGACGGAAGCAACATTTCTTATAGTTAGTTGGCTTTTACAATGTGGAGAATTAACATGATATCAATAAATAGAATTCTTTTTTCTCAATGTCAGATCCACATGTTCGTGCACGATTTGAAAATTGTCTGTATTCTCCTTATGCTCCAATAACATGACTCTCCTCACAAAATGTCATCTTGACCAAACTCACACACGATTTAATTGTCCAAGTCTGCAGTAACGCACATGATGCGTATGACGATTAAAATAAATACAATAAGTCATTTGCAGCTTGTCTTTAGTCAATAACAGAGATGATAAGAATTAAATGTAATTAATGTGTCGAATTGCAAAAAAACAGTAAATACATCACTATGGAATCCAACAAGGACGCTGACCTACGTTTTGATAATTTATTGAATCACAACTCCGTGAGACATCTGTTCTTAAGGAACATTCCTTTTTCACTTACAAATGACACGCTAACGTGCGGTGCACAACTACACCACTGCTTCTCCATTATTACCGTGTACCGCAACGAGATTTAAGGAGAATAACAATGTCGCAAAACAAGTTCGGGAAATGTTGTTATTGTACTTACGGCACACGTGTTATCAAATGTAAAGTTATCCACAATTGTGGTATAAAAACTTTAAATTATAATTCTAAAGCAAATATCGCTTCACATCGTTCTCCAGTGCGTTTATTTGTTGCTATGGCTTTGGTTTCCATCTTACCAAATGTCAATGTAAAATCAATTGGTCTGTTACGTCCAAGATGAGGATCGGGAAGATCTACATGAATAAAAGATGTAAATAAACAACATCAACCAAAAAGATGTCAACAGCATCGCCAGCACTAGTATACCATTAATCTAGGAAAGATTTCTGACACAATATTAACTCACCAATATGCAATTTTCCGAATAGCTTCATTCCAGGATCATCGCAGTACTTTGCGTCGTCCTCTGCGGTCGTATAAATCAAAAATTTCACTGTAGTCTGCTCTGGATAGATCGGCCAGCATTCAAAGAGAAACTTGGCATCGACTGCGACTTCCGTTCCACGTTGAGCTAATTTGTGGAAAAGTTTGACCACACCACGATCGTTTCGGCGCTCCTTTGGATCCCAAGGGCGA